AGGCAATTAAAGGCTTTTGTTACTAGCAACAGCAAGCTTTTTGAAATCCATGGCCAGATCAGAACCTAGAAAGTGAGGACTTCTCATCACCAAGTAAAAGTTCAGTGTGAGCAAAAAGGTATTTAATGTTTTTACACTTAACTTGGTAGGAAAAAGAAAAAGAAAAATGACATGAAACAAGATGTCAGCGGGGGTCCTCTGAGTCTCCCTCCAGATCCCAGGAAGTCCACAGCCCACCCTTTAGGTTTTGTGAATTGTCCCAGGAGGTTTTGTTTTTCTGCTCTTCTAGACTTCTGAGATCTTGCTTCGATGTGTAAATTGAGAATTTACTGTAGAGATGGAAGGCAGGGTTTACATCTCAGTAACAGCAAATAAATTCAAACTGAATGGGTCCTGGCCTCACTTCCCTACCAGTCTCAGCACCTGACTGGCTCTTTCTCGGCCACTTCACTCTCTCTTCCCCTCTCCCAGTGCTCCCTCCTTCCCCCCCCCCCAAACAGGAGAAGAAACAACAAACATCTAATCTGCAGCGCAGGCTTTCCCCTCCTCTGAAGTCCAGGTGCCTGTAACATCCAAGCCCTCAAGGTGGCATTCCTCCCCACAAACTCATCAAAGCTTTCCCCCAAGGAGACAGCTCCCTCTTTCCCCTTCCTGAACAAGCATTGTAGGTCTGGCTGTTAAGATTAAAAAAACAAAAAAAACAAAACAAAATCCCCAAAATCTCCCATGTCTTTAAACAAGATGGAAAATTTTCTTTAAAAAATTTTTTTAAATGTATTACTTATTTCTGAGATAGAGAGAGACAGTGTGAGCAGGGGAGGGTCAGAGAGAGAGGGAGATACAGAATCTGAAACAGACTCCAGGCTCTGAGCTGGCAGTCAGCACAAAGCCCGATGTGGGGCTTGAACCCACAAACTGTGAAATCATGGCCTGAGCCAAAGTCGGATGCTTAACCGACTGAGCCACCCAGGCGCCCCCCCCCCCTAAATTTTTTAATGTTTATTTATTTTTGAGGCAGAGACAGAGTGCAAGTGGGGGAGGGACAGAGAGAGAGAGATACAGAATCTGAAACAGGCTTCACTATCGGAGCTGTCAGCACAGAGCCCAACTCGGGGCTCAAACCCCTGAACCTTGAGATCATGACCTGAGCCAAAGTTGGATGCTTAACCAACTGAGCCACCCAGGTGCCCCATGATGGAAAATTTTTTTAAGTTTAATTAAGATAGTACTTGCTGGGGTGCCTGGGTGGCTCAGTTGGTTGGGTGTCCAACTCTTGATTTGGGCTCAGGCCATGATCTCACAGTTCATGGATTCGAGCCCCATGTTAAGCTGAGTGTCCAGCTTTGTGCTGAAGGCCCTAAGCCTGTTTGGGGTTCCCTCTCTCTGCCCCTCCCCTGTTTGCTCCCTTATGTGCACGTGCTTTCTCTCTCAAAATAAGTAAACTTAAAAATTTTTTAAAAGATAGTACTTGCTGTACTGTGGTGTACATATATTTTAATTGCTTTGTTTATGAAATTTTATTATAATAACTAAGAGTAATGGAAATTTCTTTATATTTATATAATTTTAATTAAACAGTCTTCAAAATTATAAAGCATTAGTGATCAGATGTAGGCTTTATTCCCATATTCTATGAGTGATTCACACCAGAAGGTGGTTAAATGAAGCAGCTGTAAAGGGGTAGCTTTAGAATGGAAAGTGATAAGTGGAAATCAGGTACCTTTTAAAAAGGCAGGTTTTGAAAACTCAAGTCTATTAAATAATATAAAACATCACAATCCTACAGCAATGTGGATTTGAAACTGTTACCCTAAGCAGGTTTTCTCTTTTTTGGAGAACACTCTCATATTTGAAAGCTGTAAATCAGGGCGCCTGGGTGGCTCAGTTGGTTAAGCATCTGACTTTGGCTCAGGTCATGATCTCGTGGTTTGTTGGTTCGAGCCCAGCATCAGGCTCTATGCTGAGAGCTAGCTCAGAGCCTGGAGCCTGTTTCAGTCTGTGACTCCCTCTCTCTCTGACCCTCCCCTGCTCACGCTGTCTCTCTCTCTCTCCTAGAAATAAATAAAACATTAAAAAATAAATAAATAAAAAATTTAAAAAATAAAAAAATAAAAAATGATTTAAAAAAAAAGAAAGCTGTAAATCATGATAGGCAAAAAGTAAAAAAGAGGGTCTCAGTAGCCTCATGGCCACGGTCCCGGAGAGATGGCTTAAGGAAATTGTCTGTACTCTTTTACGCTCCCGAGCTTCATTCTGTTTCAACCCTTCCATTTTATAAAGCTCTACCTTCTTGAAGTATCCAACTATATTCTGCTTATAGGGGCAAGGAATATTCAGTATTCAGGTGTCAGGCACCTGCTTGGCAGAGTTTTGTGGGTCTGTCCTTCTCATCCTCACCTTTATATGTTCACCTGAGTTCTGCCTGCTCCCCTGTTTTTCTAGTTCCTCCTGAAGTCTTCCTACATATACCTGTCTCAATGATGGGAGACCTTTCTAACAAATGAACACAGGGTTCTCTCCATTGCAATTGCATCAGGCTGTATCCACCACCGTCTCCACAGTGGCAGTTCTCAGAGTTCTCCTCGCTTTTCTCCTGTCCCCTAACTGAATTTCCTCAAAACCCATTCCCACATCCAGCATTTCCAAATTTGCACAATTGCCTTGCATCACTTAGGAGTTTCCTTATTTCCTACGTGGCCCACGGAGAGGGCAAACTGCCACCGTGTGGAGAGGGGGAATCTTAGCACACGCAGCCTCGTGGCCCAAATGGCCAGACCGAGAGAAAGATCTTAGCACACTTCTGGAGGGTTTCATTGTGCCTTCTGCTCCTTATCAAAACTACTAAGCATAAATAGTGATTATAATTAGTGCGTTTACATAAACAATACAAGTAGATCACTAGCATTGCACACTTCATTTTATTAATAGCTTTGTAGTTCTCCATCATTGTTTAATTTGCCCTGGTTTCCCTTCCAGCTTTAATTAGCACAACTTTTAAAGTTTATAAATATAATGAATTTTTTAACTTAAGCAAGCCCCTCTAGTGTGTGACAGATGGTTAATGTCAAAAGCCCATGGGGAAGGCTTCTGTTTAGCCTTTGATTTTGTTTTATTTTTTAGGCCACAGAAATGTTTGACTGTGCTGATAATTTGTAAGCATACATCAACCATCAACTTTTATGTGCTTTAAATTCTAGGCTTTCCCCTGGATTTCTCTTCTACTCCTGGCCCAGGAGGGGCCAGGAAACCAGGCAGAAGCATGCCTAAATGGCCTGTGATAAGCCTCATAAAGTTATTTTTCTCAATTAATGGTTTTCACTGACAATTTTACTGCTCTGCCTTCAGCTTCCTCATTCCCTCGGGCATCTGTACATATGTCTGTGATAAACCTCATCCAGTCCAACAAAATTGGCCCCTCAGAATACAGACTGCCCTATTTTTTAAAAAACTCATTTTAAAAAAGCTCTCTTTTTTTGAAACATAACACTTGAAAATACATTTAAACAGAAAGTAATAGAGCTTTAAAGCAGGGCTATAAAAGTGATTTATTCATGAGTACATACTTATTCCTCTCCCAGTTGACATCCATTTTATATTAATTTTCCTTGAGTGTGTATCCTCAGCTTTTTTTCCTAAATTTTTACTGCTAAAATGAACTTTTTATTCCATCATTATTCCCTTCTACTTTGCTCCAAAGACTCTCATACAGGCTGAGAGGATCCACTGGGGGTACAGAACCACAATTTGGGAAACTCTGCTATGAAATAATAATGTTCCCTAGTCACAATCACTGACTTTATTAGGTAGTCAATTAGCTATTTTTTAATTAGGGAAAGAAAAGTTCCTAGTTCATTTTTTCTGAAGTTACTTGAAAAGCACTTTTATAATCATGCTTCACTGGGAGCAGGAAAGCATACCTTTTTCTTAGGTCAGTGGAACCTTCACTCTATAGAGAAGTAATCTATAGAGTCCTTTCTATAGCCCACCGCCCCCTGCCCCAACCCCAAAGGACTCACAGCAGAAGAAAGAACGAATGATAATAATGCTCCCTTTATTTATTTATTTAATGTTTTTTATTTATTTTTGAGAGAGAGAGAGAGACAGCGTGAGCAGGGGAGGGTCAGAGAGAGTGAGAGTTACAGAATCCCAACAGGCTCCAGACTCTGAGCTGGAAGTCAGCACAGAGCCTGACGTGGGGCTTGAACCCACAAACTGTGAGATCATGACCTGAGCCAAAGTCGGACGCCCAACCAACTGAGCCACCCAGGTGCCCCAATAATGCTCCCTTTATATTGTATAGTTTTCAAAACAGATTCATACACTTCAGTTCATCCAGTGTTTTTTTTTTTTTCCCAGCAGATGAGAAAATAGAGGTGTAGAATCTCATGGTAATAAAAGGTACAGGGGTGCCTGGGTGGCTCAGTTGGTTAAGCATCCAACTTCGGCTTAGGTCATGAATTCATGGTTGGTGGGCTCTGTGCTGACAGCTTGGAGATTTGAGCCTGCTCTTGATTCTATGTCTCCCTCGCTCTCTGCCCCTCCCGCACTCTGCTTCTTTCTCTGTCTGTCTGTCTGTCTGTCTCTCTCTAATATAAGTAAACATTTAAAAAATTAAAAATAAATAAATAAAAGGTACAGCACAGGGAATATAGACACTGATATAATAGCATTGTGTGGTGTCATCAGATGGTAGCTACGCTTGTGGTGAGCATAGCTAACCATACAAAGATGCTAAATCACTCTTTTATACACCTGAAATTAATGCAGCATTGTATGTCAACTATAGTCAAAAAAAATTTTTTTTAAGTACAGTCTTAGAGAAACAGCACAGAGCCCGAGGATGTCTTCAAGGTCACACAGCTTGTCAGTCAGAGACCAGAATTTAAACCACCACTTGATGATTCTGATTAAAAAAGCAAATTTAGTTTCACAAATAGGATTCAAGATCCAGCAATATTCATAAATGTTATGGTGGGGAAGGTTTTATAAGCAACACTTACCAGTGACTGTGCTTTTCTTAGCTTAGATCTGTCCTGCAATTTATTTTTCTTATCATGGGGCTGTCGGCTGAAACCTGGGTTCATTTCATGTCTTTTCCTCCTTCTGTAAATTAGAAATCATTGGAAACAATCATTTTAAATTTGCATGGCTATTTTTCCATTTGATTTTGTTGTTCCTATGATTTAAATGATTGCTGTCACTCCAGTGGAAATAGGCCAAATGTAGATCACAAGAGAAGTAGTTTAATAAACTCTGGCACATCCACACAATGGAGCACCATGAGCTATAAAAAGTAAGGCAGGGTAATTCTACATACAACTGTGGAGTGATCTCCAGGATATATTGTTACATGAAAAGAGAAAGGTGGGGGCACCTGGGTGGCTCAGTAGGTGAAGTTTCTGACTTTCGCTCAGGTCATGATCTTGTGGTTCATGGGTTCAAGCCCCATATCAGGCTCTGTGCTGACAATTCAGAGCATGGAGCCTGGTTTGGATTCTCTATCTCCCTCTCTCTGCCCCTCCCCTGCCTACACACACACACACACATACACACACACACACTCTCTCTCTCTCTCTCTCTCCCTCAAATAAATAAACATTAAAAAATTTTTAAAAGGAAAGGTGAATAAAGCTGTATGTTTATTTCAGAAATGCCTGTGTGTATTTGCTTAAAATTTTTTTAAATGGAATGATGACACCCTAACATCTTGAAAAATGGTTATCTAGAAGTAGGATTCCCATGTGATCCAATCAAGAACAAAGAACAGTATGGAGGAGTAGGAACAGAAGCTAGGCTTCTCCAAATATATTTTGTTTTATATATTTGACTTTGGAAACATCTCAAATTTTTTTTCAAAATTATAAAATAAAACAAAGGAGGAAAATCCCTAAAATCTAAGAACAAAATAAAAGAAACAATCTTGTCTCAGGAGTTGGTGGCATTATTATACACAGAGGAATTACTTCATGGGATTTTAACATAGTAATTTGTCCACACATTCTTCACAGTATTCTACTAAGAACTAAGGACAAAAATACAGGCAAAGAAATCTTACACTGTTTTTTAGTAATCTTATTGTTTGTATTAATATTAGTATTGGTTTTCTAAAACTATCATATATATTAGGATAAAGAAGGGATCAGCAAACTATAGCTCAGAGGCCAATTCTGGCCCAGTGCCTATTTTTATAAATAAAGTTATACTGGGACATAGTCATGCCTATATTTTTTTGCATATTGTCTTTGACTGTTTTCAGGCTACAATGACAGAGTTGAACAGTTGTGTCCTGTAAAGTATTTATTCTCTGGCACTTTCTAAAACAGTTTGCTTGAAGTAATGAATCTAAGCAATGATCCTCAATAGCCACTAACATCACACAAAAAAAGAGACAACCAGAGATTATGCGCCTTATGATGGAAGTACATGATCTTATCTACTCAAGCCTGTAGATCTGACCACCAAGTATGGCCACATTGGGAGTACAATCAGCAAAATCAGAATGTGAGAAGCTCTACAGGATAAATATCCTGATTTCTGTAACAAATTCCAAGGGAGGAAAGAGGACAGAGGAAAAGCCTATAGATTAAAAAAAAAAAAAATAGATTTAAGTGACACATGGACTGAATGCAATATGCAAACCTTACTTGGAACCTGATTAAACAAACTAACTGTTTAAAAACACCATTTGTGAGAGGTGCCTGGGTGGCTCAGTCAATTGAGCTTCGGAATTCAGCTCAGGTTACAATCTCGTGGTCTATGAGTTCGAGTCCCGCATTGGGCTCTGTGCTGACAGTTTGGAGCCTGGAGCCTGCTTCTGATTCTGTGTTACCTTCTTTCTCACCCTCCCCCACTCATGCTCTGTCTCTCTCTCTCTCTCAAAAATAAATAAACATTAAAAAAAATTTTTGAGGGGCACCTGGCTGGCTCAGTTGGTTAAGCATCTGACTTCGGCTCAGGTCATGATCTCATGGTTCATGAGTTCGAGCCCCGTGTTGGGCTCTGTGCTGCCAGCTCAGAGCCTAGAGCCTGCTTCAAATTCTGTGTCTCCCTCTTTCTCTGCCCCTCTCCTGCTCGCACTCTGTCTCTCTCTTCCTCAAAATAAATAAACATTAAAAAAAATTATTTTAAATACCATTTATGAGACATTCAAAGATACTTCAAAACTGGCTTAATATTTGATTATGAAATCATCCATTGATTTTGATGTGCTATGAAATATTACAATTTCAATATATATTGAAATATATATGAATGAAATAATATGACCTTTAGATTTGTCTCCAAAGTAACCTGGGGAAAGGGAAGAGTTGGTGAGGGATAAATGAAACCAGATTGGGCATGAGTTCAAAACTGTTAATGCTAGCTGATGGTTACAAGTGGTTGTATTCTGTTTACTCATATATATATTTGAATTTCCACTATAAAAATTTTATTTAAAAAGTCCAGCTTTGCTGAAATATTTCTTGTTGCTTAATTTTCAAAAATGTCCCCCAACTTAATATTTGAAAGAATAGCACACTGATTAATTACCTATACACTGTCCAACTAGATTCAACAATTAGTAACATTATGCTATTTTTGCTTTATCTCTCTATATACACAGATACATATATATAGATACACACATACATATATGTATCTATATATGTATGTATTTTTCCCACATCATAAAAAAATGAATTGCAGATATTTCACCCCTAAATACTTCAATACTCATCTCCTCAGAGAGTATTTGCCTACCTAACCACATTAGTGTCATCATACTTAGGAAAATGAATGGTAATTCTTTAATATCATTTAATAATCTATTCATATTCACATTTCTGCAATTGCTCCAAGAATGTCTTTTATAGTCTTTTTTTAAAAAATGAGTAAGGCACATGGTCTGCACCCCCAAAGAGCTCAATTCTTGCCTAATTAGGGCTACCAATCTCATCTCACCTCCAAAGGGACTCCACTAGTCCTGAAAATACACATGTAATCTCAATGTCCCCAACTCATCAAACTTTATGGGATTTACTAACCAAATAATATAACTTTAGAAACGATCCTACAAAAGAAGTGCTTACTTACTACGTGTTAGGCACTTTCATATGCATGTTGCATATATATATATATATGAGGATTACCTCACAGGGACCCTATAAGCTAGGTATTACTATTATTGCCAGTTTACAGGTGGGGAAACTGAGGCACAGAGAAGTTAAGAAATCCTCCAGGATCACAAAGCTAGAGCTGTGGGAGTCTGGATTTGAACCCAAAGCAGTATGGCTCAGAACCTATACACCGTCACTATCTTATGCTGCCTTGATGTTAACCTGTTTAAATACATTCTGAAAACGCAGCAGACATATTAAAACATTACAAAACATTTCAAAATTTGTTTCCTTTATTTCTTGTTTATCCTGTAAACATGTATGTATGTATTAACAAACAGATACATATGTATATACAGATACAGATATATTTTCCTACTTTCTCTTCTTTCTGTACTATGGGTGGCATACTATAGATACTCTCTTGAAATTTGCTTCTCTCTCTTAACAACATACCCTTTTATTGCTTATCAGTTCAGAGAGCTCTTCCTCATTTTCATACTTCCCTAATACTCCATTGTGTGAATGGACCATACACTGTTTATTCAACACACACTCTCCATGTATGAAAATTTAAGTTATTCTCAATCCTTTAAAATGAGAAACAACCCTGCAATAAATATCCTCATACAGATATACTTCTCATATTTTCTTTTTTTTAAAGTTTACTTATCTGTTTTGAGTGACAGAGAAAGGGTGAGCAGGGGAGGGGCAGAAGAGAGAGAGGGAGAGACAGAATCCCAAGTAGACTCCACGCTGTCAGCACAGAGCCCAATGCAGGGCTCGAACTCATGAACCATGAGAGCATGACCAGAGCCAAAATCAGGAGTCAGACACTCAATTGACTGAGCCACTCAGGTGCCCCTACTTTTCATGTTTTCAAGTTTGATTCCTAGAAGTGGGATTTTGGAGTCAAAATGTAAAGACATAGATATTTTTGCTAGGTAATAGTCAAATATCTCTCCATAAGGTTTGTGCCAATTTATTTTCCTACTAACAATGTAAGAGGGTACCTGTTTGCCCACAGCCTCACCATTAGAATGTATTGTCAAACTTTAAACTGTTTGCCAATCAGATAGTTGAAAAATGTGAAAATAATTAGGTTTGGTAGTAAGAATGGGATGGAAACAATGACAGTGTGGGAAGGGAGTAGAAGAAATGGGATGTGGCACTGCTCTGAGTATACCTTTTGGGCACTTTTTGTATACATTTTAAAAAGAGCTTTTATTTATTTACTTTGAAGAGTGAGGAGGGGCAGAGAGAGAAGGAGAGAGAGAATCCCAAGCATGTTCCACACTGTCAGCACAGAGCCCAATTTGGGGCTTGATCTCACTAACCCTGGGATCATGATCTGAGCCAAAATCAAGAGCCAGAGGCTTAACCGAATGAGCCACCAGGCGCCCCACTTCTTGTATAGTTTTATATATGTAATTTTATATATGCAGTTTTAACTTTAGAACTATGTAACAGATCACAGTGAAGGAGATATTTTTTAAAAATAACCCACATAACTTTTGAACACAGTATTATGAATATATGCCCTCAGACTAAAGTCAAAAAGAACCATAAACGGGGCGCCTGGCTCAGTCAGTTAAGCGTCCAACTTCAGCTCAGGTCATGATCTTGTGGTTTTTGGGTTTGAGCCTCATGTTGGGCTCTGTGCTGACAGCCAAGGGCCTGGAGCCTGGGGTCTCCGTTGGATTCTGTTTCTTTCTTTCTTTCTTTCTTTCTTTCTTTCTTTCTTTCTTTCTTTCTTTCTTTCTTTCTTTCTTTCTTTCTTTCTTTTTTAATGTTTTTTATTTATTTCTAGGAGGGAGAGAGAGAGAGAGAGAGAGAGAGAGAGAGAGACAGCGTGAGCAGGGGAGGGTCAGAGAGAGAGGGAGTCACAGACTGAAACAGGCTCCAGGCTCTGAGCTGGCAGTCAGCACAGAGCCCGACGCGGGGCTCAAACCCACGAACCGCGAGATCATGACCCAAGCGAAAGTCGGACACTCAACCGACTAAGCCACCCAGGCGCCCCGGATTCTGTTTCTTTTTTTCTCTCTGCCCTTCCCCCACATGCACTCTGTCACTATCACTCAAAATAGACATTAAAAAAAGGAACCATAAACAAATACTGAAGTCTAGCAGACTGTTTTAATAATGAAATGGATTAGCAACTTTAAAATTACTTTCAGTATTTGTAAGTAAATAGATACTGTTCATGTATATGTGTGTATTTTTATAGTATGCAATTTTTATACAAATTATATATATACAGTATATAATCAAAATGATATATGTACTTATATAACTTGTATAAAAAATATGAGAGCTGGACTTCTCACTGTTAGAGAAGTGAGTTGTAAATATGAAAAAGGAAAAGACCAGAATGAACTCCATGGTGCTAGATTGAAATCTGAAGTATTAAAATATCAAAATAAGGGTCGCCTGGGTGGTTCAGTCGGTTAAGCATCCGGTTAAGCATCCAACTTTGGCTCAGGTCATGATCTTGTGGTTCATGAATTTGAACCCTGCGCTGGGCTCTTTGCTGACAGCTTGGAGTCTGGAGCCTGCTTCAGATTCTGTGTCTTCCAATCTCTCTGTTCTTTCCCTGCTCGTGTTCTGTCTCTCTCTCAATCTCGAAAAATAAATAAACATTAAAAAAAATATCAAAAGTAGAAACTAATTTGACAATAAACTATTTGTAAAAAAAAAAATATATCAAAAGAAGCTGTAATGTTAAATTACTAGAGCTACAAAATGCAAACAAATCCTAATGAACTAGGCAAATTTACCAATGATGGTTTACTTTTCAATTACTTTTTGCTTCTATTCATTGAAAAGCATTTTTTACAGTAAATTCTATTTTCATCTTTTCCTATACTGAAGTGTCAGAAAATTGTGTCTAATGGCAAACAGGTAAAGAAGAGCATGGAGCTTCTCACCCTTGCCAGATTTGCGCAATGGGGTCACAGTTGTCCAGATAATTGAAGCGAATGATATCAGTTGGATGTTTGTCAGAGGACCGCCATGGTGGGAGTTCTTTCTCCCCTTGAGTCTTCTTTCTCAAAGAGGAAGAGAACCGGAAAGCTGATGCTGGAGACTGCTTGTCCTCTGGAGAACTGCTTGTAACTGGTTGAACATCAGCAGCTGCAAACCCATCTTTTGGAGGTGTCTGGAAAAAGAAAATTATTTCTGTTCTTAAAACATCATAATAATTACAAAACACCACCATCGTATCATCATACCATCATCATTGCCCTGATTGCAATGATAATGGTGACAATAATTATAGCAGCCACCAATCCAGGAGTACTTGTATATGCCAGGCACTGTCTCAGGAAGTTTTCATGCATTATTTTATTTAACCTTCATAACTCTGAAAGGTAATAGTTAACTACTCTCCCATTTACAGAAGTGGAAACTGAAGATAGGATAAACCAATGAACTTGCCCACTATTACATAAGTAGTAAACAGAGGATCCAAATTTTTTTCTTTAATGTTTATTGATTTTTGAGAGAGAGAGACAGAGAGAGAGAGAGAGGAAGCAGGGGAGGGAGAGATCAGAGAGAAAGGGGTAGATAGAAGTTCAGAAGGGGGCTCTATGCTGACAGCAGAGAGCCCAATGCAGGGGACAAACTCATGAACTGTGAGATCATGACCTGAGCTGAAGTCAGACGTTTAATGGACTGAGCCACCCAGGGACCCCAAAGGGTCAAAATTTGAATCTAGGATGTCTTGCTTCAAGCCCTTGCACTAAACCTCTCTATCCTGTACTGCCACATCATTGTGTAATTTATGTACAATTGCAGTTCACTTATTCATAAAAATGTACACATTCCAAAAATGGAAGTACTCCAGGCTTAATTATCTGTTAACCCATAGGGACAACTTTGAGTTATATGAGGGTAAACTATAGATTTGATCAGTTTTCAAAACCTTAACTGCTCCCAAAGAATACTTTTGCTTTAATTTCCCAAATTGAAGTCTATCTTTGTGTGTGAAATTCATAAGGTTTTTAATGTGGTTGTAACCTAAGGGAAGTGGTAATGGTACGTTGAGAAGCCATTAAAGGCTTAATTTTTGTTCTTTAAGAGATTAGGGAAGCTTTGCATGGTAAATTGGTTTGCTTGAATTGTTGGTGAAAATTAAGAAATTCCCCAATCTCTTCAAGCAGAATCAGTTAGTTTCTTATCCTTGTGTTAACTATTCTTTGTATATATTTCTATTGCAGAATAGCATTTAGTACTCGGTGTTGCAATTATGTATTTGTTTATGTCCTAGGCCACTAGACTAGGCTCCTTTAAAGCAGGGTTAGGACCATTATACTCAGCATCTAGCACCTAACACTATTTAATAAGTATTTACTAATTTAATGAATGATTTAGAACACATTTCATATTTATATAATTGATAGCTCATTATTAGATTAGTACTCAATATTTTGTTCAGGTCTCATTTAGAATGGTCATTCATTTCATTTCTCTGAGCTTATATCAAACAGAATCTGTTTTTGCTGAAGAAGGCCTCATTTAATACTACTGGGAATAAATAATACATAACAATAAACAATTTCAGGCAGAAAAAACTCAGGCATAAGTGTTAGTAATTATATATAAACATTATTCATACTGAAAAGTAACAAAATGTTTGACACTTTAACAAAATAGAATATAAATGGAAACTGTGACACTTTTTTGTATTAAGTAAACAAAGTGTTGTTTACCTAAAGTCTTTTTGAGAATTTTTAAAATCGTGAGTGGATGCTGAATTTTTGTTAAATGCGTTTGTCGGCATATACTGAAATGATCATACATATTTTCTCTTTTATTCGGTGAATTACATTGGTTAATTTTTTAAGATTATGCCAGCCTTACTCTCCATGGATACATCCCACTTGGTCATCATGTATTATTCTTTCTTTAAATATAACTTGATTTAATTTGCTAATATTTTAAAAGAATTTTTATGTCTGTTTTTATGAGGGATGTTAGTCTGTGGTTTTGTTTTGTTTTCTTTTTTTTTTTTTTTAATTTTTTTTTTTAATGTTTTATTTATTTCTAGGAGAGAGAGAGACAGCGTGAGCAGGGGAGGGTCAGAGAGAGAGGGAGACACAGACTCTGAAACAGGCTCCAGGCTCCGAGCTGGCAGTCAGCACAGAGCCCGACGCGGGGCTGGAACCCACGAACCGCGAGATCATGACCTAAGCGAAAGTCGGACGCTTAACCGACTAAGCCACCCAGGCGCCCCTTGTTTTGTTTTCTTATAAAGGCTCTATCTGGTTTTGATATAAAGATAATGAGTTGGGAAGCATTCTTGTCTTCCATTTTATGAAAGAATTTAAGCAGAATTGATACTCAGGTGGCTCAGTTGATTGAGCGTTTGACTCTTAATTTCAGTTCAGGTCATGACCCTAGGGTTGTGGGATTGAGCCCCTTATCAGGCTCCATGCTGAGTGTGGGGCCTGCTTGAGATTCTCTCTCTATCCCTCTACCCCTCCCCTCCACTTGCTCATGCTCTCTTTCTCTCAAATAAAAAGAAGAAGAATTAGTATTCCTCCCTTAAATCTGTGAAGGAATTCACCAGTGAATCTATCTGGGTTATGAATTGAACTTTTTAGAGACTTTTTTAACGTTTATTTATTTTTGAGAGACAGAGAGACAGAGTATGAGCAGGGGAGGTGCAGAGAGAGAAGGAGACACAGAATCGGATGCAGGCTCCAGGCTCTGAGCTGTCAGCACAGAGCCTGATGTGGGGCTTGAACTCATGAACTGTGAGATCATGACCTGAGCCGAAGTTGGCTGCTTAACCAACTGAGCCACCCAGGTGCCCCTGAATTCAATTTTTTAAATGATAAAGATTTATTCATGTTTTCTATTTCCTATTGAGACTTTTTGTAATTTGTATTTTCAAGAATTGTGTTTCATCTAGGTGGTCAAATTTAGTGACATAGACTTATTCATAATATACCCTCATTATTCTCACGTTTACAGGATGTGTAGTAATGCCCCCTCTTTCATTCCTGTTACTAGTAATGAATGTTTTCTCTCTTTTTTTCCTCAGCCTAGCTAGAAATATATGAAATTTATTTATGTCTTCAAAGAAGCAGCTTTGGTTTGACTGACTTTCTCTATTGTTTGCTTTAATTGCATTGATCTTAGCTCTTTGTTATTTTTTCCTTCTATCTACTTTGGGTTCAACTTTTTCTTCTTTTTCTAGATGGAGTCTTTTTGAAATTATATTGTTTGAGGTAGATAGCATAGCCTTACAGATAGTTACAAAGATCATTCTAGTCCAGTCCTTTCATTTTAAGGGTGAGGAAACTAATATTAGCCACAACCATTTGCTCATAAAATGCTTTCAAAAGCTCTGCTGAAGCACATGCCAGGTATGAGGTACTGGGGGTGGTGGTGCTTGAGTGAAGGTAAACATCAGTGGCTGCCTATGATCACCATCACTGCAGCAACCTCACAGGGAACTACACACATTACTCAAGTACGTATGGTGCTGACATTTGACTTTTTAACCTTAGTCACTGACTTTATTAACCTTAACCACATGACTTTTTAGTGTTTATGACTTAGGTCTATTTCTTTAATCAATAAGTTTATCAGGAGATTTTATTAACCTTTGTTGTTCTGATATAGGTCTATTTATTAAGCAGAAAAACTAAAGTTTAATATAACAAAGTGTTTGCCAAAGAAATGTAACACTAAGCAAATAGGTGGCAATTTTCTTGCATCAGAACTATTCATTATTTTTAAATACAGTTATACATTTTTTATAGAAAAGAATTACTGCTAAAGACAAAGCTTTTAAGTCAGTTTTATAAGCAACACTCAAAACCTCTCTTCTTCTATAAACTGGTTAATCACTTTTCTCTTCTCTGTCCCAAAACAGCCCAAGCTTCAGCTACTGAATGACATTCCCTGCCCCCAATTGAAAATGAGAGCCAAGAAAAGCCTTATCAGATCTTGAAAAGAAATCATAGCCATGGTAATTTTGAAAATAACTTCTTCCATCACTGCAATTTAAAATTTTCTTTTTAAAAGAAATCTTCATGGAGCACACCCATTACTGAAATCAGAAAGACCAGTTTTATGGTTGCAATTGTAACAATATTAATTATGCATAGTTTATTACTATATTAAATGTAGATGGATTCTACTTTAAAACAATAAAACTAAACCTAAATGAACAAGTTAGGAGCTGACAATTCATCTTTCCAAAGGATTCTTCAATTTTAAAAGGATTCACTGTGATTTTTTCATAGGATATGATACCCCTGTGGTTTTAAAAATCATTAAAAAATTTTAATTTACACATAATTTTTCAGGAACTCATCTATTGTACAAAACGATGCACAATTCTGCATGTGTATAGATCATACCATAAAGAAAAGGCTCATAAAATTCTCCCATGAGTTATCTAATTAACTGTGACTATAAGAATGAACATAAACATTGGTTATAATGCAGAGAAAACAACTAGAAAAATTATTCCTGCATTATTTACTTTTTATGATCATATGTAAATGCTTTACATTGCTTAGTTGCTAGATTAAAAAGAATGTTAGTATACTCATTGCTCATTTCCATAATTATAGATTTATTGGAAAACTTTTCTGTATAAATGATACACAAACTTTAGCTCACCTGATAGAATCAGAAATTTTGAATTAATAAAGTAAAATTTGATGGCTCATTGATAGCAAATACTGCACACTCTCACAGAGTCCCAGTGTCAGAATTGCCAGGTGTGTGAGTCAGAGATACAGGAATCCAGGAATGTGAACAGAGTGAATAGTTCCACGGTCCTAACCTCCTGGGTGGAACTGTGGTTTTGGGAGTGTCAACTAACATGGATGTCTTGGACAAGGCTATTGAGTTCTCAGAAAAGGAAAATTTTGAACTAGTAGTGTATTTCCTTTCAACCAAGTCCCCTTCCCAACTTCAAGTTTGATCATTCAGTTCTGGAATTCCCCCCCTCCTTTTTTTGTAAGTTTTAATTTAATAAAAATTTTTAAATATTTATTTATTTTAGAGAGAGAGAGCAAGAGAGCGAGGGGGAAGGCAGAGAGAGAGGGAGACACAGAATCTGAAGCAGGGTCCAGGCTCCAAGCTGTCAGTACTGAGCCGGACAGTGCTCAAACTCACAGACCATGAGATCATGACCTGAGCCGAAGTCGGATGTTCAACCAACTGAGCCACCCAGGTGCCCCTAAATTTTAATTTAAATTTCACTTAGTTAACATTAATGATTCAACACTTATGTACAGCACCAGGTGCTCATCACAAGTGCCCTCCTTAATCCCCATCACCTGTTTAACCCGTCCCCGTCCCCCACCTCCCCTCTGGTATTCCTAAATAGCTGATATTTGTATGCTTTTTGCCCCAAATTTACCTTAGGCTTGGTAACATGAAGTTCTTTTACCATCCGAATGTAGTGCTTCTTCCATATACCCTGCTCAAAGGGAGTTGGAGAGAAATTGATGTACCAGTTAAATCGTAAACATTTGAGCATCCAGAGCTGATCCAGCTCAGTTAAGTTCTTCCAATGCCAGCTCACCTGAAAACACAATTGGAAAGAAAAAAAAAAAAACCCTACTCAGTTTACATGCCCATTTTTTCTATGTCTTGAGCTGTCACCCTGGACCTGGGATAACTCTTGTGCTTTTCCTCCAAACCACATCTTAAATAGTTACTTACCTGAAATGCTTCCTACCTCGGCAGGAGGATTTTCTGTAAATGTGAAATCACACTTAGAGTCAACTAATATTTACTGAGCACCTATTAACCGTCCCCACAGCAACCTAAGGAGGGAGGTGTTATTACTACTCTAGTATTGCAAACAAGGGAACTTGCTCAGATAGATTTTGGAACTTTCTAGAAGTTCCTGAAGTTCATTTGAAAGTTATAGGAAGGCTGTAGATACTCGGGTCTGCATATTTTTTACTCGTTTTTGGTATGCTTCCATTTTCCTTCTGTTCTTATGATTTAACTAAATAGAAATTTTATAAACAGAACATGATTTCTGATATCTTATGGTATGCCCCACATAGCCTTTAAGATTCCAAACAGCATACATTATTTGTTCTCTACATTCCATTCCCATGGCATTCTGGTCAATCTCACATATCCAGCAAATGTTGGAGGTGACCCTACTATGTTGCAGCGTATTTACAGTAACTTACTTCAGATTTTGAACAAGTCTTATTGAAAATTACTTCATTTATAAAATTCAGCTCAGGGGTTCTGTGTCCCCTGTGAGACTTGCAAAGATGACATCTAACCTTCAAACCCAAATTTCATCCTTGTGAAATTAGTCACTTCTTCAAGATTAATTAATTAATAATTTTTGAGCACCAAAGAAAAAAAAAGGCAGAACACTATAATATTCATCCATCCATTTATCTAGCCCTCTCTTCCTCCTTCCATCTACCAAGTACTGTTCCATTATGTTTAGCATCATTTTCTGGTCTGAAGAGGAGACATACAGGAGAGGGGAGGGTACAATTACAAGAAACAACAGGTTCAGGAGCTGGAAGGATGAAAAAGGGTATAGAGAATCTGACAGAGCCCTGCAGGCAGGAACAGAAATCACATCTACTTTGTTCAATGCAGAAATGAAACAACATCAACCTTAAACCTCATATGGTTCATTAACTCGGGATTTGGTGGAGAGGCGAGATTTCAGAGGAATGGGATGAGGAAAAAAGTCGCTCAATTCTCACTCTTCCCTTCATTTTCCCTACATCTTGTTTTGACCTCAGTATTAAGTTTTTCCCTCCCTGTCCCGCCAGGGTAGATAAGGTTTTTGTATGTTTTGTTTTGCTCTTTGGTGTTTTTTTGTTTGCTTTTAAGGTAGACAGGAATGAGGAGAGTTGAAGAGTAGGTAGGAGCTTTCAAAATTATCAGACCCTCCCTGCCTCCATCTTTTTAAACAGCTCAAAGCTCATTTTGGTGCAATGACATTAGTGTTAAATCTGGCTGAAGAACAACTGCCTGTGTCTTCCTCACCGTCAGTACTGGGGAAAAAATGTAATGCCGAGATCTTGTAAGATTGACATATGGTACACATATGTGATAGGATTTCAAATCACATTTCCCTCAAATCAAAACAGTCTCAGTGTGCAAAATTTGGAAAATTCCAAGAAGTTTAAAGAAAAATAATACCCGGGGTACCTAGGTGGCTAAGTCGGTTAAGTGACTCTTGATTTAGGCTCAGGTGGTGATCTCATGTGAGATTGAGCCCCGAGACAGAATCTGCACTGACATCCTGGAGGCTGCTTGGGATTATCTCTCTCTCTCTGCCCTTCTCCCTCTGTTCTCTCTCCCCCCCAAAAAAAGGACAAAAAAAAAAAAAAAAGGCAAAAAACCCCCACCCCATACCCATAATCCCATCAATCAGAGATTACCCTTATTAACAACCTGCCAGAATTCTTTTCTGCCTTTTTTCTAGGCATGTTTGAAACAAAATTGGGAAACTCTATATGTATACAATTTTAAATTGTGCATTCTTCATTTTACATATTATAAGCATCTTTGTTCTTTGAAAACATATTTTCTAGTCGCCCCACAATAACTCATTATATAGCTATATGATACTCTTTTTTTTAAGTTTGTTTGTTTATTTACTTAGAATCCCAAGCAGCCTCCACACTGTCAGTGGATAGTCCAACGAGGGGCTCAAACTCACAAATGGTGAGATCATGACCTTAGGCTGAAATCAAGAGTTGGAGGCTTAACTGAATGAGCTACTCAGGTGCCCCTAAATTGTGTATTTTGTTTAAAAGCTTTGGGTATTATAGAATACTCACAAAGCCCTCCTTCCTTATGTTTTCTTTGAGTACTTTATGGTTTTCTTTGATTTCATACCAATCTTTTATCCTACTAGAATATTTTTTTCAGATAGCTGCCCAATTGTCCTAACACCATTTATTAATTCATCTTTCTTACTGCATTCATCTTCTTAATTTTAAAAACTAAAGTTAACATGTTACACATATGTGAATGCATAGTGACAAGTAACTTCTGGTGTTACCAACCTCTATGAAAAGACTCAACAAAATGGCTACTAGTTTATCTCATAAATAATTGAAATATACTATAATACACCGTGGACTTACTTGTAAGAAAACAACAGTCAGCCCCTTTTCCAAGGCCACTGGAAGCATATCTACTCACTCTGAACTCTTGTAGTTTTTTGTACATATCTCATTAGCACCTTATTTAGAGCTCTTCTGTTTATGAATGGCCTGCACCATACAATTTAGAACTTTTTTAATTTTCTAAATGTTTATTTATTTTCAAGGGAGAGAGAGACAGAGTGCAAGCAGAAGAGGGACAGAGAGAGACACACACAGAATCTGAAGCAGGCTCCAGGCTCTGAGCTGGCAGCACAGAGCCGGATGTGGGGCTCGAACTCACAAACTGTGAGATCACGACCTAAGTCAAAGTTGGACACTTAACAGACCAAGCTTCTCACGTGCCCTTAGAATTTTATCCTAGTTGTATGCTATGCAATGTAAGACTATCCTGCTGATGAACCATTTCACATATGTGTATTTGTCTCCCCAACCAGCCTATACCATTCTGTGGACACTAATGATGTCGTACATCATTTTATATCTACTTATGAGCACTAAATACAGAGTTAGGCAGAAAGGAGACAGGGATTAATTCAAACTATACAGACTAAACATATTGACCAACTCATCTTATTTCTTGGTTTTGTGCATGAGTTTTTTTCCCCCTCTTTCATTCTAGAGTTTTCCTAAGCTATCACTATAAAATGTTGTACACTAATTCTTTGCCTTTACCTGTGCACAACGACAAAGGCTTCGGGGGTCCAGAAAAGAAAAGATGTGTAAAGATAACACCCTTGGAAGCTTGGTAGTAAAATCCAGAGCTTCTGCTGGAATTTTTTCCTGAAGCTTTTGACAGCAGAACTTTTGCTGTGACAGGGAGCAACGTTCTAACAGGCCTGTCAAGATTCTTCTCCGCTGAGAGTCTGTCCATTTATCAAACTGGAAAAAAGAAAGAAAAAAACCCCTCCAGGTTCAGTCTGATACCAGAGATTCATTGAAGAAGAGAGAAGCATGGCAGAGAAAGTAAGTTTAAAATTCTATTACTAATGAATAGCATGTACTTCTCTTAATCAGTAAATTTGACATTTTGCCACTTACCTGTCCTTTCTCACATTTATACATGCCAGCATGTACAAGACATGAGTGCATACACAGACATACGCTTGACCTCAGAACTTGCCATTATGTAAGATCAATAAGTTGGGAGCTGGCCATATTCATAAACTGAGAAAATATATAAAGATATAATTTCAAGAGAAGGCACCTGGGCAGCCCCTTTCCCACCAGAGTTTCTATATTAGCTCATTAGTGCCAAACTCCAGGACCAGAAATAAAGCTTTGCACTCACAAGTGGAGATAAGGTAAGATATGCAAATATCGCTGAGAAAGGGAGTATACTGGGATAAAGTCCCAGTAATGTGTAAATGATTGATTGGAGAGAAAACATCAATAAGAGGACATGGAAAAAAGAGTACCAGGGACAGGAAGTAGATAGATGTCCGAGTAATCTGGGGCATGCCAAACAAAAGCTCTGGTTACTTCACAATTTTCCCCAGATATAACCCTTAATCAGTTCCAAGATCAATGACTGATGAAAGGTAAGAATTTGAGAGCTGGCCAAAACCCAAAGAAAGCTTCTTATGGGAACACCTGCCAATTGAATGAGCCAGTTTACCAGAATCTAAATCTGTCTTTTTTTCCTTAGTTGATTAAAGAAATAGGTAAGTGTGGGGTTGCCTGTATTCTGCATACTACTGCATTTCATGTACAGATATTTATTATAGTCATCATAAAGTAATGAGAATTTTATAAGGAACTTTAGTTGTAATCATAAAATACACTACCTAAAAAGGCATATATAAAGCATGACAAGTCACCTTCATTATAGTCATATGTATTTTTATTTAATTGGCAAGAATACTTCTTTTTATTAAAAAAATTCTTTTTTTTATGATTTTTTTTGTTTGTTTGTTTCTAGGAGAGACAGAGAGAGACAGCGTGAGCAGGGGAGGGTCAGAGAGAGAGTCACAGACTGAGACAGGCTCCAGGCTCTGAGCTGGCAGTCAGCACAGAGCCCGACGCGGGGCCCGAACCCACGAACCACGAGATCATGACCTAAGCGAAAGTCGGACGCTTAACCGACTAAGCCACCCAGGTGCCCCTTTATTAAAAAAATTCTTATTTATTTATTTTGAGAGAGCAAATGTAAGCAGGCAAGGGCCAGAGAAAGAGGGAAAGAATCCCTAAGCAGCCTCACCAGCAGCACAGAGCCCAATGTGGGGATTGATCCCATGAACCATGAGATCACAGCCTGAGCCAAAATTAAGAGTTGAAAGCTTAACCTGAAGAGCCTGAAATTAAGTCCTCCATTAAGAGCAACCTTGGGGCCCCTGGGTGGCTCAGTCGGTTGAGCGTCCGACTTCAGCTCCGGTCATGATCTCACGGTTCATGGGTTCGAGCCCTGCGTCGGGCTCTGTGCTGACAGCTCAGAGCCTGGAGGCTATCTTCAGATTCTGTGTTTCCCTCTCTAATCTGACCCTCCCCCACTCATGCTGTCTCTCTCTCTCAAAAATAAAACATTAAAAAAAATTTAAAAAAAAAGCAACCTCAGGCTGCACATAGCCCCAGTTCCAGGAAAAGCTTGAGCTGAAACCACCCTCGGATCAGCCAATCAAATGAAATGTGTAACATTCCTGTGGCCTGAGTCAGGGTGGGAACTGCAGGTAGTTACTTTGTACAAACTAGCCAATCACTCACCGCTTGCCTAAACTCCATGTAGGCCCTTTGAGCTCACCTCATAATTGGTCATTTTCAAAGGATTCTCAAAGGTCATGATTGGGTCCTGCCAAAAGTAACGGACGCCTCACAGACACTGAATGGTCAAAACTGTTACCATGGGTGCTGTACAATTATGATTGGTGCTTATGTGATGATGCAATACGTACAACGTGTGCACTGTAACACCCCTGTCCCTTACCCCATAAAAACCCTGCTTGCTATTGTTTGGGGCTTTACTTTGCTGCCGCTGAGCTGGTAGATGGGTGAGCCCCTGCTCGAGCTTGTAATAAAGACCCTTATGTACTTGCATCGGTGTCGGCTCCTTGGTCTCTGGGGACTCGCGATTCGGGCACAACAAACCGACTGAACCACCTGGGCACCCTGGAAAGAATACTTCTTAATCAAAAACTATTCACTATTATAGATCTAGTTAATGACCCAAGAATCTTGGTTTGGAGACTATAATTCAAGGAGAGGGTGTGCCGATGTAGAGAGCAAGATAGAATCACTCCTGTCAAGCAGTGACATAAGCAGTGAAGGGTGTTGCAGCTAAGACCAGATTTCACCAAACCAGCACAGACTGGCAGTACTAAGGACTGAAAAGAGCCTGGAGGAGGAGTTGATAATCACTAGAACCAGAAGAGGCCTGCAAAGGCCCAAGACTGATTAAACTCCTTTCAAAAGGGAGGATTTCTATAGCAAACTGTCAGACTCTCCAGACACTGACCCTTCTACTTCTGACCATATTTGAAAGGGAAATGCTACCAAAGGCCCTGACTAGTTGATCTTGAACCTAAAAGAGATTCTCCACTGCTTGAACATAATAAGCGGTATGAGCTGAGAGATGACCTAGACTGGACCACGGCCTCACCCTAACTGTGTGCTTCGGGATTGACTGGCTTTACATTTGGTTCATTAATTTCTTGCCCCCTGTTGTATCTTCTTTGTTGTGTGACTTTGTATTAGACTTTGTTTTGTGTGACGTGTACAAAGCCAAGTTAAATGGGTAGTGAAGTGTCATTGAGTTTGGAGTCCTGACATTGTGAAGACACAACTCCTGTAGGGATCTTAAGTGTGCTCACAGCAGGGAAGAAAAAAACCCAAAACCTCAGCTTACAAATAAATGAATAAGATCTATTCATGTGGGAGTGTTCCCTGATTTCTCCTACCTGTATTTCTGTACAATCCATATTTCCAACGCACAATATAGGACTTCTTTCTTTTTGGGATGGATTCTTAGAATGAAGAGAAGCCAGACCAGAATGACTAGGGGCCAGGGGAAGGACCATGCCTGAGAAGCTACATTGATCTATAAAATAAAGAGCCAAAGAGAAGGTATGAAGAGAAAGAAAAGCAGTAAGGTTTTGGCTTGTTGGGAGTTTGAGGATTCAGACAGCCGTTGCCTTAGACAGCAATCAGAGAACAAGAGAGCTGAGGAATGAAGGAAAGTATTAAAATCACGGTACCAAAATGGAGTCACCTGTGTTAAAGGCCCTGTGTCAGCAAACCAAGATTTAATACCTAATCTAATTGTATATCATAAATCCCCCAGGAATATAACTTTAACCAGTCAACATGGAATTTCCCACTTAGCACTAGGCAATTTACTGACAGCCCCCTTCCATTCCACTTAGGAAGAAAATCTTGCCTAAAACAATGCATTCTTTTGCTAATAATTCTTTGCTAATAATTTTTGTTTTTAGGCTCCCTCTCTACCTTTAAAAACCTTTCCTTTTATATAGCTCAATGGAGGTCCATTCTATTTGCTAGATAGAATGCTGCCTGATTCACAAATTGTTCAATAAAGCCAATTTGAATTTTTAAATTATTCAGCTGAATTTTTGTTGTTTAACAAAAGGAGACTTGAGAAGTACTGTTATGAGTTTTAAACTAGTTCTGCTTTGATTTTTCTTTGAAACACAAAGTGAAAATTGAAATTCATTTTTTAAAATGTTTTATTTATTTCTGAGAGAGAGAGCGTGAACAGGGGAGGGTCAGAAAGAGAGGGAGACACAGAACCCAAAACAGGCTCCAGGCTCTGAGCTAGCTGTCAGCACTGAGCCCGATGCGGGGCTCGAACCCACGAACTGTGAGATCCTGACCTGGGCTGAAGCTGGACCCTCAACCGACGAGCCATCCAGGTGCCCCTGAAATTCATTTTTAAAATAACTTATAGGCAGTGCCTGTGGTTCTCTAGGAACTGAGCTACATGGGAACCGAGGATGATTATGGTTACAAAAAAATTTTCATGAGATATTATTATCACTGAATGAAATCAGAAATAATAAAAATGCCTAATAAGGGATCAGCTATGCAGACTGTAATGTATCAACATGATAAGAGAAAATATGGTATTGCAGATTGATGATGGGTTTGTGAATGAGACTATTGGTAGTCTTATTTCCAGTGTTCTATTATTTCCAATACTCTTTAGAAATAAATCACTAAATTCCAGCTCCACCACTAACAACCTCTCTATTTCCTCATTTATACATTAGGAATAATTATATTTAAATTGTAGGGTTGTTGTGAGGATTAAATAATATATGTATAAAATCCTTAATAGGGTGTATGACTCATAGACATGGCAGCTATTATAAAATATCAAAGTGATGTTAAAAATAATTATTATGTGGGTTAAATCAGTGTAAAAAGAATATATATGCAAACAATTAAATTAAAAACCATAAAATTATCATGTCCGTGCATTGGCAAGGATGGGAAGTACATTTAGAATGACGGAGGTTAGCTCGTCTACTTTCATTGCTGCCCACAAAAAGAGAATGAGCTCAGATTGAAGAACAGTGATTTAGAATGAATATAAAAGAACACTAGGATAATAAAATGCTGAAGAAATCTATAAAAGAAAACATTAAAACATTTTCCTCTAGAGATTAAAAAGATAATTACATTGGTTTCTCATTTATTTCCCTGATTATAATGGTCAAAGGTAATTTATATCTTGCTTTGATAGGTGTTCTTCGCCTCAAGGATTTTCCTTTCTAATTGTGTTTGTTTAGGCTAATAGAAAATGAATTTGCATTCCTTGAACTCCTACCAATTGAAGGTGGGTTGATGAGTCAGAAGAATGCTTCACAATTGGGGAAAAATCCCTTTGGAATTTAAAAGGTGCTAGGAGTAATCCAAAAAGTAAACAGTTC